AAATGGGCACATATATAGCTGCACATGTAATTCTGATTTGGCGATCGATTAGTTTGAGTGGTGGCCAGGGAACGCGCCACGAGATGCCTGATCTATTTCTGGGGTGGGTGATATAGATTCGCTTTTGGTGAGGCATTACGAGTTGGTGCTGGCTGGTACCACGGTGGGATTACGCCTGCGGATACAGCGGTCGATTTTCACTCAATGTGTGGTTCGTTGATCGTGAATCTCTCATGGCCAAGTACTTGGATCAGGCTTGAAGATCTGGGATGTGTCATGGCGGTATATTCTGCCGCGTCTAGCAGACATGAAAGCGGCGCCTAGAAGCGCAATTGTTTTTTCTTCTTAAGAAAAGCAATTAAGCGTGGGGGTTAGGCTCCGGCGTAAGGAGGCGCTCCATGACAGGAGGAGGAGGGTAGGGGTTAGGGTAGAGTTGTCGCAGAACCGGGCGAGTGATCTTCCATGAAGCTTGGCAGGCGCCTATGACTGCAACATCAGTCTGTACCTACATACCACGAAGGAGGGGCCAGTCACCACGGCGGTTCAGTCAGCGATTTTTCTCGGCAATGCTAGTTTTGTGCCAGTTTAAAGAAAATCTGTAAGATCACCCGCCCTAAATAATCATCGCCGAGAGGATCAGTAACTAAACCCCCCCTGGGTGGTAACTGGCCTCGCCTTTCTTCGCGGTACTCTGCGTTTTGTAAGATACTAGAGTCTTTTAGCCGCAAGAGTTGGACAGAAAGTCGAGCACTTCGACAAAAGTCCGCACATCTTATTGGTTGAACGGCTGCAAGTCTCTTCTCAAAACAACTGGACTTTATGTCCAACCTGCACGACTTTCTGTTCAACTCGCGCAGCTAAAAGACACTACTAACCATACCGTAGCTGCGCAATAAGCAAAGAGGAGATGAGTACATGTAAGTGGCCTGGGTTATCTTATCTATAAAAATATTTGGATGATGATGTGGGTGCGAGGTATCAGGCTGGGGCCTCGATTTTCTCTACCTAGCTGCAGTCGGTCTCAAAAGTGCAGAATGGGCATTGGGCTACTACGAGGCTCACTCTCTAATTAACTACTAGTACTTTGAGTTCTTTGGCCCAATTATATAAACTTGAGAAGTAATCCACCAGAGGATGACTTGGGCCGACCCAAACCAAATATAAGTAGGGCCCGGCCCGGCCCAGCCCGGAATATATTGGCTCGGGCCCATCGCACCATGGGCCGGACTAAGTCTCTCTGAGATCCACTACCCGTATTATCCCGAAATTTGTGAGCTGGGCCGCTATTGCGTAACATACTAGATCGTCGACTTGGCACGTTTTTGTACAATAGCCGTTGCGTCCGGACCGCAAACGTCAGGAAAATACGAGTAAGCCGCTATAGAAAATTGCTGAAGGAATCTTTTTAGCAGCTGGATTAAATTATTAACAACTTACGGAGTATTTATGTAGTTAATCACGTACCTTATTTGTATGGAAATTCAAACTTTTTTTTTATCTACCCACCCCGAAAATACCATCCCGAACTTGATAAAAAAAATGGGAATATACAAAAGTCTAGCCCCAAAAATCTAGAGATGCAGTTATCTGTTTAATATCTCACATGGTTGTGAAGTTACGAACCTTCAAAACTGGACATTTATCTTATTATTGCTGGGTGAGGTGGCAATAAATAAATAAAAGGCCCAACTTGAAGGTTCGTAACTTCATAATCATATAAGATATGAAAGAATTAATTTCACTTCTTCAGTTTCAAAGCTCTATCCCTTACCTGGTATACCGTTGATATTTCAATGCGAGATATGAAATCGTGGGTTCTAGTAACCCCTCGAAGGTTGGTGATGTAAGGTGTGCCCAATCTTAAAGGTGACATAATTTCAGTTCCATAAAGTTTTTTAACCAGATATATAGTAATATGGAGGACTTGTCTCAGACAGATTTTTTGATATCTTGTGTAGTTTAGAAAGCCTTGGGGGGTTTGGGGCTATGTAAAAAAATGCCGAGGTAGCGAAAAATGGAACATCTTTGTGTCCATTTATATACCCCTAAAGGTACCACATAACTGATTACCGCGGCTGCGCAGTGAGGCAGCTAGAAATGGGTCTTCTCACCAATTGGCCTAGAAGTCATTTTGTAGACAAAAGCTGGTAGATCGTCTTTAAGACTGAGCGCACCATACCTGATTTCGGAACGAGAGAGGGAGACATAATTGTTATGTCCTCCCGGGGCTTTGGGATGTTTTGCTTGTAGGTAATACCCATAGCTTTTTGATAGCTTGGGGAGGAATTGTTACGCCCACGAGCCTAGAAATCTAGTTTTCTCTTTGGTGGAAGCCCTGCCTGGGGGTGTCCTGATATCCAGTGGACCGAGACAACCTTGGAAGTATTTTGCCTCCTTAGAAAACATAATTCCTATTGAGGTTAAACGGACTACCTCCCCGGAAAGAGAATGAATCGCGGCAGCGTTTACGGTGGGGGTTGTTACCCCCGAGCTTCCCATGAAGTCGTGATAGGTGTTTCAACACGCAATCTACAATCCGATCAGTAGTTAATAAACACGAGCTGCTTATATTAGTTAATTACTATCCTTTTCACGGAAGGGCTCAGTTAGAAGGCCGACCACTAGCACTATGCAGTGGGTATGATACAATTTGAAGGTTTTTGCTACTGCCCAGGGTATATTCACTGCCTGAGTTCAAATATTATGCATGTTATATACAGCCAGTCGTCAATATTCTGGTTGAGCCTGATCGTGAGGTGGTAGTGAGCATTTTCCTGTATAGAGCTTAATTGGGTTTCTTTCTGGAGTCTGAGTGTCTGGTCTAAAAAGTTGAACTGGCTAGCACAGCCGCGGACTGCGAGGAGCGTTTGTCCCTTCGCTTCTTGATATGATAGTTGTGGTACTGTTTAAACTGAACTCCGCATATTAAAACTCTCGAAATATGTGGGAGAAGACACGTTGTTGTGATGTGTTAGATATTGCGGAGGTTTTCTTGTGATTTGTGGTTTCGAGTTGTGCGAGTGATATTTGGTGCAGCTGCCCGTTGGGATGTACGCATCTCCCTGGTTTCAGTCGTAAGAGCGGGAAGTGTAGATTCCACGAGAAAATGTATTGTAGTGCCGCTCATCCTGGAATTAGCACACGTAAGAACGCCTTGCTACTTTGCTCTGGCCTTCGAGTACTCGTCTATTCGCGCATTTTTCTGAGGTAGGCAACATTGGCCGTGCTTGGAAACGTTATGAATGGACGGCTATACCCCTGCAGTTGCTCTGTCTGGTCTTAGTTGCAAGACGCATTGCGAGTGGCCACTTTGGTTCTTTCATCACGTAGGAGGCGGTCTGTTGATGAATGGGTCAAGCTCATTGGGCCCCTAGAACAGCGTAGACTAATGACATCTACTGGCCCTGTAGCATGTAGCGGTGGAGTCCGTAAATATGGAGAAATAAAACTCCAAAGAAAGATTGGAAATCTTCTCTTATGCGGGTGCGCTGTGTATTATCCCCACTCACAATTTGGGCTGCTTCAAAAGTCGGCCACGTGACTTGCAATTGGCCTCTAGATTCATATGTTTTAGTGCGGTCATGAGCCGATCAGCTCGGGTTCCAATCTCATCGAGCAGGAACCTTAGATCGTAATTCAGCGGACATGCCCAGGAGGGGACATCTGCGACATGAGCTTCGCCGCGCTGATGGAGCTGTTCCTACGGAGTATGGATAGATGGTGCGCGCCTACCAGTGTTGAAAAGGGAGATCCCAGCCGCAGTTAGAATGGCTATTGTCTGAAATTGTGATACCACTACAGCTAGTGATAACAGCAGTCCAATCCGGGCGCCCCCTACACGCTCGAGGTCGTACTTAAACGCTATACGGTATCTCTAGGACTTCAATCATTGATCAGCTGAGAGGCCTACCTGTCGGTACATCAAGATGTTTGATGAACGATCTGGAGTGTGAGTTATTGATGGATGCTTGTAGGTAATGTTTTATCGAAGATGTGGTGATGGTTGTTGAAATGTTATCCAGCTTTGTAGATGATTGGAGACCTGGCTTCCATACATCACTCTCCCAATTGCAACCCCGCAGCACTTTACTAGCTAGAAAGTACAAAGAAAGCGGGTGCCTGAGCCTGTGTGACGTGACTGCTGCTGAGGAGGAGCACTCGTATCTACACTCTGAAGTAAGTTTGGAATTGGTTTGTAATTACCCGCTCCTCCTGTTGCTCTTCGGTATACAATAACTCGGCCTTGGTCTACAATCGATGAGCCATGGGGATGTATGTGAGTCAAAGTCATATCCGGTACGTTGGGACATTCACTACATGTAGCTATAGGGCCGGCTGGGCTGGGGGTCTGTACATGTAAGTAGACGTAGGTTGAGGCCAGACTGGTTACATAACTTTAGGGTAAGGTTTGATACATGTAGTGCTAGGTAACATGTAGACGCTCGCATGGACCAGTTTTTAAACGTACGTTTATATTAGGCAGCTCGAGTTCTTCAAAAACACATGTATGCATGTTGATTTCCTGATGCTTTTATATTGGGACAATGCTTCATCGACACATGCACAGCCTAGACATAAGAAGGCAGTCGATGCTCTATAAATCTATTAATGCTGGTGTTCCCCCCCTGAACTTGTGTAGACATGGGGAGTGATAGAATGCCTTGTTACATGACGGGTGTGGCGGTGCGAGTGATATCTGGTGCAATGAAGCACAGATCTACGTGATGGATGGATTGGGTCGCCGTGTTGTTAGGCATACAGATGGGATGCACTTTTTTTTTCCTTCTTTTTTTTTCTCCGGTACATCGATAGTAGTTCAAATCACTTACAATTAGCACACACTACATATACTTCCAAGAAAACCGAAATTATTTTTTGGGCTTTAAAACAAATAGAGCTTTTATACACTTTGCATTGCAATTTGATACGAATAGCGAAGAAGAAGAAGAAGAAAAGAAAAGATTTGCCTGAGCTGATAGGCTAGCTACACATATAGCTCGCTACTGCTCCATATGCTCCCCCACCATGGGGCCCTCTCTCAGCTCCCTCTCCAACCTCGCAATCTCGTCCAGGCTCTTTGCGTTCCTGATCCTGGCCTCGATGCTCTTCCTTTCTTCGGCTGTCAGGCGGACGGTGGTCTCCTTCTTGCCGCCGTTGAGGGGTTCGCCGACGTCGAATGTCTTGGATTTGACGCCCATTATCTGCCGGAGGATGGTTAGAATATCGTGGGGGGCAGTAGAGTAGGGGAGGGGGAGGAGGAGGAGGAGGGTGGGAGGGGGGTGGGTATGGATACTTACTTTAGCTGCAAGAGGGGATGGCTCCTTCTCGGTTCCAAAAAGCTCGACCGCGCGCTTGCGCTCAGCATCTTTAACCTTCTGGTAGTCCAAGAAGCGGACGCTAGGGCAACGCCAGATGACCCAATAACGGTAGTTCTACACCGCACCCGCACCGCATGAGTTTTCCCCTTCTTTCTTTTTTCCCCTTCTCGGCCATGATGATGATGATGATGTCTAACGCACCTCTTTCCTGGTAACAGGGTTATCCAACAACGACAAATGCGTCAGGCGCTGAAACTTTGCCAACGGGTCCAGATCAGACAGCTCGGAGAGGTTGTTGGAGGCGAGAGCCAGCACTTGGAGGTTGGGTATGGAGTTTGCCAGTGTGGGCTGGATCGTGGAGACGCGGTTCCTGGCGAGCAGGAGGGTCTTGAGGCGCTCGGAGAGGGGGAAGTTGCCGAGTTGCTGGATGTCGTTGTCGGTGAAGTCGATTGCGTCTTGTGGCTGTTTTGGTTAGCCATCACCACCACCAACCATGTTTGGAGAGAGAGAGAGAGCTTACTCCCGCGACACCCAAATTTTCAATCGCTGGTATTTTATGGCCTGATTTGTACATTCCACCGAAAAGGAAGAGGGGGGTTTTGTTCAATACAGCTCATAGATCAAAAATGTAGTATCTGTTCTTTGGATTTACGCACCTCGTAGATCAAGCTCACGATCATTCAATGGGTTGAGATAGCTCGGGGCGCTCGCGAGGAGCTCAGTGGTCAATCTCATATTGGCGGCTGTAGTGGTAGTGCGAGTTTGGGAATTAGGTTATTGTTGTCGTTTATAAGAAAAAGACGTCTACGGGAGGCGGGAGGCGCGAGGTGGAGTCTTTTTTTTGCTGGTGGTTGGTTGGCAGACGTTAAGATACAGTTGAAGTTGAAGATTGGTGTGCCCCTCAACACGGAAAGGGCGAGTGCACGCGCAGGCCGGGTAACTTTTTGCATGGGCTCGCGTCTTCCCCACAAACTTGGCGTATTTCTATTTCTTGGCGCCAGATTTATATATATATGAGTACTTTTCGGGTCTGTATATAGAGTATCGACTCAGCACATAATCTCTCAGCGGATGCCCTTACTGGATAGAAAATTTCACTAATCAACGGAGCCTGAATTGACGTACCGGACCAGCATAGCATAGTATGTCTACATAATGTGGACGGCTTACATGCAGTAATTACTCAAGTTGATCCGACCACTATTAACAAAGTAAATATTAGAAACAATCGCTCAAACCTACTTATTTCGTGGATTCAAGTACTTAGAGCGCAGAATAGGATGTGAGCTTTTTCTACAAATCTACGTGTATGGAATTTTAACAATCCACGTGTAATCTTCGAGAATATTATGTTTATCTCCAGCAATACTGTAAGGTGGTCTTATAATATAGTAACAGTGTCCATACTCTAGCTACAGTCTGATTAGACGTGTCATCTTTATATGTATAAGTAGATGGGTTTCCATCCTCCGCCTTCGATCGTAGTAGAATCATCCATCCTATTATCTGTTGAGCCCCCGCTCTATAAGCAACGCCGTTAATTCGACGTCCTTCTTAGATTTTCAAACCTATATATCTATATCCTCAGCTGGATCATGTATGTGTTTCATGATACTCTTATAAATTCTGTCACCCGTGATGCTGATTTACAGCCAGTGTACCTTAGCTGTTTAGATATTACTATAGCAGATACCGGTACTAACTGTCCTTTAAACTGTCAAGGCTGTCTATTTCTTCAGGTGGGATACTAGCGTAAGCTATGACTTGCGTCTGAGATATCGATATCCACTCATAAATTTCGGGTATCTCCCTTCTAGATTATGGGAGTAAAGACTGTAGCTTATTAATAGTCAAGTTCATCTAAGCTGAATCCTTGACGACTCTCTTCTTCTCCGGTGTGGTACCCGAACGAACTAGCTATACCTTTTCTTTGTTAGCTAGCTATTCTTAAGGCCGGTCTGCTTCTTCACATAAAATCACTCGGTCGGATTAATCTGTGGCACGTACCAGCTTTGTTATGGCTGGAGCAGGCTAGAAATATTAGTAAGATATCACATATTCAAAAGATTTACTTTCTAATTTTGAACCAATCAGAAGAGCAAATTCCACCCCGGCACACATGCAGGCTACTGCAAAACCTCCTCCGCTAGCAGCTGTTACTAACCAACCCCAACAGCCAATCAGCAACGTTATCAATTGCGGCTCTTGCTATCAACCGGCCGGGTAATGCCTGTCACCTAAACATTTTTTTAATTTTTACCCTAAACCCAATAATTCTCAAGAATCCACAATCCAAAAAATCCAAACCCTCAAAAAATGGCTCCACGCACCAAAAAAACCCGAACCACCAAGCCCGCCCCCCCAATTGAGCACAGCGACGCCGAGTCCTCAGATTCCGACGACGCCGGCGTAGCCCTCGAGGACGAATTCGACCTCGACGCCGCCTCTGACTCGGCCGACGAATTCGAAGCTGGCGGCTCCGACGACGATGAAAAGACCAACAACGGTGAATCATCAGGCGAGGAAGACGAGGAAGTCACCGGCGACGAGGCAGAAGAAGAGGACGAGGATGAGGACGACATTGACGACATCCTGGCCGCCCAGAACGCGGCCACGGGAAAGAAGCGCAAGCGCAACGATCCCGCGGTGTTTGCGGACGCCATGTCCAAAATCCTGTCGTCGCACTTGACGACGACGGCGCGGAAGGACCCCGTGCTGGTGCGCGCAAAGAAGTTTCAGGAGAACATTGACGAGTCGAAGCTGGAGGCCAAGGCGCGCCGGGTGCTGCGGGATGAGAAGAGGAAGGAACTGGAGAAGGGGCGGATCAAGGAGGTGGTGCCGAAGGATGATGATGAGGCGGCGAGGAAGGCGCTGGAGCATGAGAGGAAGCTGAGGAAGACGGCGCAGAGAGGTAGCTATACACTACCGCTCTTTGGTTTGTTTTGAGGAATTGGGTTGGGAGAGATGCTGACAGAGGTGTGTGCTAGGTGTGGTGAAGCTTTTTAATGCGGTGCGAGCGGCGCAGATTAAGGCCGAAGAAGCGCAGAAGCAGGTGAAGCAGAAGGGAGTGGTGGGAATGACAAACAGGGAGGAGAAAGGTAAGATTTCCAGCTCGTTCCCTCTAAAGCGTAAACTAACAGCTTTTCTCGCAGTCACGGAGATGTCAAAACAGGGCTTCCTACGCTTGATCCAGGCCGGTGGAAAGACAAAATAGAAGCCAACAGCCCTCTCCCGCCACTTTTATGTTCATATAAATAGCAGTATATTATAATAATGGCTTGCAAACAAAAGTTATCGATATTGCGGAGTTGGGGGGTTTTCTTTTTCTTTTTACAGTCTAGGGCATGAAATACAAAAAAAGCTTTTTTTCTTTTACAAAAAATATTGGCCGGGTGACACTTCATGATGCACATGAAATTCGCCCCTCTTCTCCGCAACGCAACAATTGGTAGATCGGATATCTAGCGGGGAAAGATTGGGTAGGCGGGCGGGGAACGGGGACGGGCGGTTTCTACTTCTTTGAGAAATCGCTACTCTGCAGATTCCTCGTCATTGACGGCAGGCGCACCACAATGCCGTCAATCGCCTTGCTCATGTGCACCTGGCACCCAAGTCTCGACCTAACACACACACAATCAAATCAGCACTTTCTCATTCCTCCAAACTCTATAGTCCACGGTGAGTCCTACGTCTCCGTTAACCCAAAAGCCAGGTCCAGCATATCGTTCTCATCGTCCTCCGGTTCGGGGAGCTTCTCGTACATGGTGTCATCCTCGACAATGACATGGCATGTCGAGCAGGCTGCTGATCCACCGCACGCGCCTATCCATCCTAGTCAGCACCCAATCGCAATCCAATCTAATTCGTAGCAATCGTAATAGTAATAGTAATGGCGGTGAAGGTAATGATAGTGGTAGTCATACCTTCCATCTCAAGATCATTCTCCTGCGCAATATCCAGCAGGTTGTCTCCCGCGGCAACCTCGTACGTGTGCTTCTCTCCCTCCTTGTCTATGAACGTCACATGCAGTCTAGCACAAACCGCCGTTTGTCAGTTTCTTTTTTTCTCGTCCATGCCCCATACCCATCCATACATATCTAGACTCGAGATAGAGGGAGGGGGGAGGGGGGGCAGTACATACTCCTCACCCTTTTTCGGCGGCGTGATGTGGCCGTGCCATTTTGTGTGCGCGGTCGTGAACGCTCTTGGTGCCAGTACCGGCGCACGTAGTAGCAGTGGCGGGGCTCGCAGCGCAGAGGCGGCGGCGCGGGCGAGGATCCGTGGGAAGGGCATTGGCAATTGGAGAGGTGGGTGCTGCTTCGTGGTGGTAGATCTGTGTCTATGGTGGGGGGGATCCGGGGGGGGGGGGGGGGGGAGCGGAGGGGCGGGCGGGAGGGAGATAAAAATGATCTAAGCGGGATTGGTGGGATATCAGATGCAGTGGAGCCGCATGTAAAGCCGTTTTGCTTGGCGAGACATGACAAATTGGCGGCTTTTTGGGTTTTGTGGGTGTCCGGCAACACCGGCTGAGACAGTGTTCGACAATCCGACAAATGCATTCAAGGCTTTTATCGTCATCAGTCGGGTGCTGGAGGAGAGGCGCCAGGCCCTGGACACTGCCTATAAAGCCAGCGGTCAATTGGAGCGGGTGGAGATTATACTCGTCAGCGGCGGCGGTCAAGCCAAAGCCGGAGAAGCCCTACTATGTCACAACGCCGATCTTCTACGTCAATGCCGGTGCGTATATTTGAATTCTCGGACCACTGTTGTATTGCAGACAAATGGCTATATTTCAGAATGGTGGGAGTAGTCAATTGATAGATCGGTGTTATAGCTCCCCATGTCGGCCATCTTTACTCAATGGTCATCGCGGACGTCCTCAAGCGCTGGCAGCAGCTCCAAGGCTGCACCGCCGTCCTCTGCACCGGCACAGACGAGCATGGGATGAAGATCCAGCAAGCCGCTCTCGCCGCCAACACGCCTCCCAAGCAGTTCTGCGACAGCGGTGCGGAGGTGTTCAAGGTTTCCTCCACATACCCACTCCACCTGCCATCCTCACAAGATCTCACTCACCATTGTTACTACTAGAGTCTAGCACAAGAAGCCGACATCTCCTACGACCACTTCATCCGCACGACAGACCAGAAGCACTACGATGCAGTCCAGCATATATGGCACCTTCTCGCCGACCGCGGCCTCATCTACACGGGAAAGCACGCTGGCTGGTACTCTGTCTCGGACGAGACCTTCTACCCCGAATCTAGCGTCAAGCAGATCCTCTCTCCTACGACGGGCCGGAAAACCATGATCTCCACCGAGACCGGCCAGGAGGTTGAGTGGGCTGAGGAAACCAACTATCACTTCAAGCTCTCTGCCATGCGCGAGAACCTCCTCGAATTCTATGCCAAAAACCCAGACTTCATTGTCCCCGCCGCGCGCTACAAGACTGTTGTTGACGAAGTCACGTCGGGACTGTCAGACCTGAGCATATCTCGTCCACGCACCAGATTATCGTGGGGTATCCCGGTCCCTAGCAACGAAGAACAGACAATATATGTCTGGCTTGACGCTCTGGTTAACTACATCACCGTCACCGGATACCCATGGACGCCCGGGAAAGAGTCCGTTGGCGGGTGGCCTGCAGACGTGCATGTGGTTGGCAAGGACATTGTCCGCTTCCACTGCATATACTGGCCTGCCTTCCTTCTGGCGCTTGATTTACCACCCCCGAAGCAGATCCTGACACATGCGCACTGGACCATGAATCAGAAGAAGATGAGCAAGAGCGTAGGTAATGTTGTAGACCCGTTCTATGCGATGAAGCGGTATGGGGTCGACACAATGCGCTTCTACATGGCGCATGATGGAGGCATTGCGGATGATGGGAACTACAGCAATAGAGAGATCATCAGCCGATACCAAAGCATGCTGCAGGGTGGCCTGGGCAACCTAACAAACAGAATCTGCAGCAAGACTTTTGATCTGGAAGCAGCCATCGCCTTCGGCGTAGATAGCTCAGACTTAGAGATGACGGAGGCCGACAAACAACTCCAAGAGGCTGTGGAAACCGTCGGTGAGAAAGTGTTCGAGAAAATGGCAAAGTTTGATGTTCCCGGGGCGTTGAAGGAGATTATGGCCCTAAGTTCCATGGTTTGTTTCCCCCCTCTTCTCACAAAAAGAAGAGAAAGAACTAACCCCCAAAAGACAAATAGATATGTCCAACACTCCGTCCCCTGGGAGCTCAAAGATTCTTCTGTTGCCGCTCAGCGCCACAAGATAATCTACCTCTCCTCTGAGGCCGTCCGCGTTTGCGGGATCCTCCTGCAGCCATTCATGCCCACAAAGATGTCAGCACTGTTAGACCAACTCAGCGTGGCTACGGATAAGAGAGGGTTCGAGTATGCGTTCTTTGGAAAGGACAGGACGTATGGTGTTGGGTCATCGGGGAGGAAGGCAATGCTTTTCCCGCCACTGAATGAGGAAGCTTTGGGTTAGCACTGTAACTTGACCCTACGGATAGCACCATGGGATGATTGGGCATGACCCTTTAGATTATTTGGGTGTAATGTGGTTCATGATGTGCTAAATCGAAAGGTTCGTGGGTGGCTGTATAAGGTAGCCTCTAGTCTCGTCTCGGGTATTCGCTGGTTAGAATGCTTGTTTTGTGCTGGAGACAAAATATATGGGTGTTGGAAGAGGTGCAGAGAAATCTCGACTCAATTACGTTCCGGGCATGCAATCGCTAAATTATTTTTAATAAGAAAGAACCGAAGAATATATCCGGCCGACTTGGAAGACGGAGGAACAAGATCTTCTTATAGCAATAGGACTAAGAACAAGTGTTCTCAAACAGAGCACAACATGCATAGACGTACTGTTCCGAACAATGTCCAAACTATGTACGCAGGGCAACTAACAACAATACCTGCCCATTAAAAGAGACGTGTTCATCCGTATACTTACCCAGATAGCGCCCATCGTCAAGAAAGAAGAGGGCTCTTGTTACTACACCCCTCTCATGGCCGCCTCGTCTTAGGCTCCTTCTACCTACGCCCCCCAACCCTCTCATGCCCTCTAATCCCACCCAGCCACTTACTAAGGCCTGTCTCGCCGCAGCCAACATTTAAGGAGTTAGTGGAGGGTCAACAGGGCACCAGTACCAAGCTTGAAAGAGGCACTAGAGGGAGGTAGATCTCCATGGTACATAACTTTCATGATGTGGCGGGGGTAGGACCAGCACCAAAATTTCCACGGGAAGAGTGGTATGAAGAGCCGGAAGTGAGTCGGCATAGACCGAAACTTCACTTCCGGCCCTCCATACCGCTCTTCTCGTGGAGCTTGTTGAGTGGGCTGCTTCTTCCCAAGCCTCTGTTACCCACAGTCTACAAAAAATATCTTGTGGTGCAGCTGGGAGTGATGGGTCTTTGGGAGTTAACAGCAGGTCGTGCCAAGACGGACGGTGAGCCAAGGAGCATAAGATATTTGGCCGAGTGAGAAATTGTGATTAGAATCTAAATGGCACTAATTGTAACCAAGTCCCGTGCCAATTTCCACGAGAAGTAGCCCACGCAAACAGTTAGAAAATGGGGTTGGGCCCCCATCCCGGCTCTTTATCGAAACTAACTAAACGCAGGGCGCCCCGTGACCGAGTCCGCTCTGCGCTTAATTCCATGCTAACCCGCCTGGAGCACTTCGTGGTATACAGGATATACGATAAGGAAAAGAATAATATTTTGTGTTGATCACGTTACTATATGTGTGAAGAGAGGTTAGCTGGCCAAATGTTTACGTTGCTTGCGTTTACGACGTGCGACTGTGGTCGCACGCGGTGTGGATCACACGATATCACTCGCGCGGCCAGAGCCCCCGCTACCGAGAAGAATCGAATTTTTATACTACCAGCAGGTGCAGAGGTTCGATTCGTACAACCATATATCAGACCACAGAGTTTCTTTTTTTTTTTAGCTTATATCGAGTGAGAATCTATGCACGCGGAGAGGGCCATCCTATAGCCATCAGCCGATTAACCTACCCGCAGATTAAAAATAGCCAGGGACAATCAAAGCCACAATCCTGGCTGCTGGTCTCCAAGTTAGAGCGACAACTCTACTCTGAAAATGAGGTTGAACAGACAATAAAGATCTGGGGGTGGCTAGGGATACAACGACACCCATGAGGCTCCTTCATGCCATCACACCCACCCCTATCACAGATCCTCCACAAGCTGTAAAGGGCCCTAACCTAGTACCCCCCCCCCCCCCTGCACGTTCCCGCTAACTTAAACACCTCAAAATTCCCCGAAGCATTAGAAAGAACCATCCTATCTACCGACATCGTAGCCCAATAGTTATGGGGGGTGTTTGCTCACCAGCTATTATTCGAACCACCTCCCAGGCTTGGTCGAATGACTGTGTGACTGGGAGAAAAGTGAGTAAGAGCGAACCAGTGCCCCTTCTTTCCTTTTACTACTCTGAGTTTTTTTTGTATGTGCTATATGCTATATCTATTGCATTACCAGTTATCCAAGTAAGTGAGTGGCCTGCACCCCCCCCCCCCATATCAGAGTCCCCCCTTGAGACTTTACGACCGTGTTCGTCTCACTCTTTTTTAACCGAAGCCCTGCTGTTGTAAAAACCGGCTCAATCACGACGGAACCATACCTACCTCGCCACCACGCAATAATCAGTTGGGCCTCCATGTAGTTAGTCCGAGGGTCAATGATCGAAACGTAGGTTCATATTTCCATTCACGATTACATGTAGCATACATATGTAGACTCCTTCACGAGGGGTATGATCAACACAGAGGTATGGTCAATCCCAAATATACCTACGCCAGGGTGGTATATGATACGCAGGGAGCCGATCAAATACCTCTTTTGGTTTTTTATACAAAATCTTGGAACCGACCACACCCCCGTGCATGTTGACCATAGCCCGTGAAGGAGTCTAACCTTTTCCATTTCGAGCTACCAGATCTCCATCTTAACCAGTCCATGGTCCATCCATACACTCCGCCCAGGGGGGTGGTCACAGGAAATGGGCTGGCATATGGGCTGAGTACAAATATTAGTACTAGTAACTATATGTACATACATGTAGACGTATGTACCACGAATACCGAATCACCAGCCATCACTCGCGCCTTCTACGCCGCCCCAACGTTGATACATGTAGCTACGCCTGATCCTCCCGCACCCAAGGCCGCGCAATCACCAAAAATGGCAAGAGCCATAACGCAACGCAATGTATTGTATTGTATTGTATTGTATCCTATAGTAATAGTATAAACTCATAAAGTTACAAGCCAAGTCCGCGCAATGAGAGATGAGATGAGATACAAGATGAAAGATGAGAGATGAGAGATGGTATGAGAAAACAATCATGCAGAACAACCACAACCGCAACCGCAACCACAATAGTAGAGAAAGAGAAAAAGAGAGAAAATGTATACGCCCCCAGAACGAAAAGCAACAAACAGAGACAAAGTAGTGTGTGTGTTATCGTATGAAGGATATAAGGAAAGGAGAAAAAAAGAAAAAAAATGCCGCCACACCGCCAATAAACGAAGGCAAAAGAAGAAGGGAAAAACAAGCCCATACACCCTAGATCGTCAATGTCAAGTCAAAAAATAAGTCAAAAAAATCACCACAATTACAACTCCACTATCCTCACAAAGCCCCCCAAGCAAATAAATAAACAAGCTCCAGTCCACTCTCAAAACAAAGGCCGCCGCCCCCCCCCCCAAAAAAAAAAACCAACCATTAAATCGCCGCCCACACCCCCGTCCCCACACAGCTCCCCTTCCCACTCCCCACACTCGACGCCACATCCCAATAAAACCCCCTCGCGCTCCTCCCACTCCCACTCCTACTCACCGTCTTCGCCGCCGCTCCCCAGCCACCACTCCTCATCTCTGACGGCGACCTAATCAGCGGATGCTGCTGAAACATCGGTCCCGGCACCACCACCTGCTGCGGCGGCGGCGACGGCGACGAGAACCGCGACTTCAAGAACGAGAAAAATACACGCACGCCCAGCTCCTGCTCCCAGTACTCCCGCCGCACCTTCTCCTCCTCATGCTGGCTATCGTCGTCGATATCGAGCCCCCATTGCGCCGTGTCGCTGTGGTGCAGCGTGGGCGTGAAGTTGTAGTGGGGGATTTCCGCGTCTGACAGCGTGGCGGGCGTCTGCAGATGTGTGCTTGTAGTAGTGCCGGTGGTAGTGGTGATGGTGCGCGGCTGCGGTGTCTGCACGCCGTCGTCGTTGTAGTTGTCAGCGTCGTCGTCGTCGGCACGGTGCAGCGTTGAGAAGGCAGCACCGTCGGGGGCCGGGTGCGAGGTATATTGTGTTACGAGGACGCCGAGCTCGCGGGCGAGGCGGTTGAGGAGGCGGTCTTCGGCGGCGGTGGGGGCTGGGGTGGGGTTTAGTGGGGTGCTGGTAGGGTCCAGGTACGAGGACTCGGGGAGGGCTTCGCCGAAGATGACCTGCAGGAGCTCATCGTCGATGCCCATGATATCGCGGATGAACCTCCTCGTGATGCGGCGCCAGATGGTCTCTGGGTTCTCCGTATCCACATCCTGCTCCTCCTTCTGCCGCTGCTCCTCCTCCTCCATCTTCCCCTGCATAGTCTTCTTCTCTTCCATCCCCCGCTCCTCCTCCGTCGAAGCAGCCATGAAGCCCGTTTCCTCATCCAGCAACGCCTTGACGTCCTTACTGCTCCCGCCGCCCGCACCGCGCAGGCTCGCAACCGACATCTTCCGCCTTGTGACGCGCTCAATCTCGTCCAGCAGGGCCTGGCTATGCTGTCTTCGCCAGCGGTCAATCCTTGCATCACTATCGTTGCTGCTGGTACTTCCTGCCATAGCCACGATCCTCAGCGACTCCTCCAGCGAGCGCAGCACCCCCGTCGATGTAGTTGTTGTCGGTGACGACAGCGGAAACGTGCCCAGGCCATCATGCGTTGGCAGGCGCACGGGCGGCGGGTCGTTCGCCAGTTCGCGGAACGGCTGCAGCGAGTCAGTCTCTGTACCGTCGTCGTCGTCCATGTAATCGTCGTCCGTGTCATCCTCCTCTTCCTCATCTTCCGATTCGCCGTAGTTGCCATGGCGCAGGATGCACGGTGCTGATACGACGCTGCCGAGGTCAGAGGTAGTAGTGACGGTGGCGGTGCCGATCGTGCTGGGGGAGAAGACGACCCATTCGTCGGTTTCTTGCTCGTTCTGGTAGCCCACTGCTGGCTGTTCGCTGGGAGGGCGGCCGGGCGAGGAGAGTTGGGGCGAATACAGGAGGTGCTGGTCGGATTCGGGGATAGGTGGGATCGAGTGGATGGAGAGGTGGCGGGTATTTGGTGGTGCGCGGAATGCCATGGTGAGAGGTTGTGAGATATGTAGTTGAGGGTTGAGAGATATGATATCTAACTATCGTGGGGTGAGCGGGGGTGTTTGGTCCCTTTTTTGAACGGCAGTTGCAATGGGGGCACGAGGAGATGTAGCT